TGTGAGAATAAGTTCAGTTTGCTTTGTGAAAATTTCTGGTGTCCACTACTGTAAGTAGTTGGGACTTAGGGGTTACAGACATTAACTGGACAAATATCAGCTGGCAAATTACAGTGTACTGTGGTGATAACTTTGAATGTTCAGTGAACGTAACTGGGTGGAGGCAGCTTTTATGGGAGCAAACCAACTTCAAAATAGGCTTTTTCCTTACATAGTTGATCTGATATATATTGTGAGATACTGCTTCTAGACTCTAGGGAGATAATGGTTTCAAAACCACTGTGATTATTTGGTACGAACAGGGGCACAAATTCATGTAGAGTAGAAGTTTTTCAGAAAACTGGACACTTGAGGAAAAAAAGAAAGAGTAACTTCCTTAGGCTAATGTCACAGATACAGGTTTTACTTTCCAAATGTTGATGGTTTTATAAACCTGGAGATGACTCATGTTGTTAAAATGGATAAAAGATAAAAAATAAAACAATGTCTTGCAGAAATTTTAAATGTACAACAGTCCATACATTTTAATTATATGTGATTATAGAATTAAGTATATAAAATATTCCACTTTTTTTTTTACTTCTTGAGAAATTCAGTAAGTCTTATCCATATTCATTCCAGCTACATCAGCATGTTTTTCTATGCATAGTATGGAATCTGTCTTAATCTTCAGCTGGAGCAACATCTATGTTCACATTTTTGTCATTTATTTTATTAATATAAAATGTCATTTTATTTATTATATATTTCTTTATATGTTTATTTATTTATATTTATTAATATAAAATATAATTTCCTTGCCCTTTGCTTAATTCATCTTCATTTCAGTTTGTTTAATTTCTGCATCCACTTCATCCTAGTGGATAAGTCTGTCTCTTACATTACCCCTACACAGATTTTAATTTTTAGTTTTATTAGAACCTTTTATTATCTAGGATTAATATCAGTTTCTGCTGTTTGCTATCAGGAATCACTGCAGAGAGCACCTAGAGCAGTCACCAGTGAAACAAGGTGACTTGAATTTTTACCCTCTCCTGAGGTGCCTTCTTATGGTATCACTAGGGTGAAGGAACACTCTTCTTGTTTAACAAGACCTTGAATTTCACTATAAAAAGTGCAGAAGCCTAGCTCAAAGCTGCATTCAGGAGGTCAGCAGTCATTTCTGTGACTGCTGCTGTGCTAGCAGCAACATGGCCCCCTTCCTTCTTGTCCATTACATCCCTGTCTCCACAAGGTCAGCAGGATCTGGTCCTGATTCCTGTTGTGGGTTGGCATTAACCTCAGTGTTTATACCAGTGGGTTTGGCGCTGAAGATCAGTTTGTGTAATGTATCCTGCACAAGGTGGACTCCTCTTTCCAACATTCATCCTTTTCTGTTTAGGAGTTCAGCACAGAGCCTTTAATCAGTCTGGATTATACAGAGAGAGGCATAGTGCAATATGCCATTCAGTGTATAGGATTATAATGGCCAAATTTCAGCTGTTTCGGACAGGTGATTCCTATCAGTGTACCTACTGCACATGTACTTACTGCACAAGTGCTTTCCCATTTTCATTTCCCTCCTTTTCTTTCCATGTGCTTCAAAGCTTCTCTTCCCTTTTCACAAATCCTTTAGTTCCACTGTATATATCACTCTTGCAGTATGATTCCAAACCCTGCTATGCAGTTCACTTGTTTGCAATATACCACATTTGTTTCTAATGCAAGTAACTTGACAATTCTTTTAAGTCCACGTCATTTTTCTCTTACCTTGGAAATTCATAGGTGAGATTGTCTCTTTACTTCTGCATGTAAATTGCAAGCAGTTAAAAAATTCTTTACTGGCTACAGTTTGAGCTACTGCTACACTTCTTTTAGTGCACTTTTCTAATTTGTTTCTGAGCTGTCTTTTCACATTAAGCATTTGCCTACCTTTTTCTCAGTCTGTCTTTTTTTGCAAAACAATTTTCTCGGCTTCTTTTTTTTTTACACTCTCACTAAATCAAACTCGTTTTCTGTCTCAGCACAGCAATCTTTGACTGCTTGGGACATTTTTGGATCAGCTAGCTTTTACTTCCAATATTGTTCTTTTAGGTATTGTGAGTCTGTGCAATAGTTCTCATGTGAAAGGTTTTTACAGCTATTTTTAAATTCAGCAACCTTCCAGCTTCCCTGATGTTTGGGGAGTCTTTGTCCTTTTAAGTTTTAGACCAAGCATTTTACAGCTTCCCACTGTAATTACTTATGTAATATTATGGTCAGGTCTGATTGTTTAAGCATCTAAGTTGGACATTTCAAGGAAAAATTACTTCTACAAACATAGCTTTACATTTGTATACAGAAGTCATTAAATAAGAGATTAATTCCTTTCCTTTGGGCTCAGTGCTGGTCAGTGATCCCAATTAACTACATAAAGACTTCATATCAATCACGATTGCAAGACTGGACTCTTGTCTTCCTATTTTGGAGATAATTTAAGACCTGTTCAGCAGTAGCTACTTGTGGCATGGAGTGGAATACCCATACTGTGCCAACCAGTCACTTTTATACAGCTTATTACTCATCCCACTCCCATGAAAACCAAAGGGCCATCCTGTTTTTCCTCTCCATCGCTATTCCTGCAAAACAACAAATGTCAGAACATCTTGTGGAATATGAGTTAATGGGGCAATTACATTCAATTTCTTTCTTTCTTTCTTTTTTTTTTTTTTTTTTTTTAACTGAGGAAGCAGAGTTTGCTACTGTTCCAGTCATTAGGTAGTTTTGTTAGTTGTAATAAATGTTTTGTACTTTCACATATATTTAACAAGGGGTTTCTTTACTCAGTATTTATCACTGGAAAGATCTGTAGTTTCAAATATAATTTGTAAAGATTTGCCAATTATTTTGCAATTTTAAGTCTGATTTCTTTTATCTTCCATCTGATTCACCTGCATGGATTGCCTTTTTATAGGCCATTCACTATGTTGAGAGAAATGTTTAGGAAAGATATGGTATCTAAGAGAATTAGAGTGATCCTGCATTTTCCCAGGGATTTCTGGGACTAAATTTCTTCTACCAGTAGCAATTTAGTTATAAGCATTCTCCATGCAAGTCCATCTTTATGAAAGTACATTGTGTTTTGATTATTTAGAACCTGAAGTCACAAAGGACATGTTGTAATTAGATTTACTTCGGTAGGAATTGAAAATGTATTGTAGTAGTCAGAATCCCCAGGGGAAGGTTTCTAATAAAATCTCCATTGAATTTATTCATATGTGGAAATACAGTCAATATTTGAGATACGAAATGTCAGTAAAAGTAAAAAAGTATTAGCATTCAGTGTATGTTACAAACTGGCAAAGCCTTGCCAGTTTGAATATTTTTTTCACAAAGCTTTGTTTCACAAAGCTTCTATGTGCTTTTAAGAGTATAATCTCTTAAGGAAAATGCAATTATTCTGTTAGAGCTCCCTAGTCCTGAAAATGGGCAGTATAATTTTTTTTTTTTTTTAACTACCTTATGGAAGTGAAAGGAAAAATATCCATAATGCTTCTCATTACTGTGAATGCAAATGAGAGAATCATTTTCTATCATTCAGTCATGGGGATTCACTGGTCTCCTAATGGTAGCAGAGACTACTCATCTGTCTGCTTGCTATTTTATTGTCTCCACTGGCTTGGATAAAAGACAGCAACATAAACAAGTATTAAGGCAGAGAAAATGTGGCAGAATGTTCCATTAACGTGATGTCCTCTTAATAAACTTCTACCTTATGCATGGATTCATGAAATACCTACCAGTCCTGAGTTCACTGCCAAATCCTAAATTAGTGGCAAAGGGGGAAGTTTTTATTTTCCAGTCAGGTCTTCAGGGATGATCCTATTTGCTTCCATAGCCCCAAACAAACCGCCAATAGTAATTCAAAACAAAAATATCCCACAATGGAATAATTTTCCCTTGGGACTTCAGTGTTAGAAGGCACATGGCATAGGATCCAGTTTCATGTCTATTCTCTGGTAAGGAAGCATTGCCTGGAAGCCATCCAGGTCTCCAGGTCTTTTCTCTCTCTGATCAGCCATCAGCATGAATGTGTTCCTTCTAGCCTCTCGCTCTAAAACTCATAAGGCTGTATTGATTGAATTGCATAGTTGGCTTGGACTCTCTTCAGTCTGTTGTTTCCCTCCTCTTTGGTGTAGATTCCTCTGTATTCCCATTCCAATTTCAAGAAATCAGTGAGCAACATTTGAATCCTGAGAGCTGTCGATGTATTTACTGCACTAGAAACATGAGTTTCTTGGTAATGAAGAAAAGAAAGAGAAAATGCTTATTTTCCAGTACAAAATTCCTGCTTATAAATTTACAGTGCATTTTTCATCAATATTATCTAACACTAACTTTAAATATCTCATTTGTTTTCTATATTGTCTGTGAAAAAGCCTGAGTTAGTTTAAGTAAATTCCACATTTATTCATGGAATAAATGGAAACATGGGAAGCATAGCAAATTATTTGCCTATAAATTAAATTACCGCTGTGAGACACACATGAGGAGTTTTAAATGCTTAGAAAAGCAGATGTATAACTCCCAACAGCTACTCTGTAGCCATGTTCTGTCACCTTTCTGCCTTTCTCTCACCAGCACCTATGAGACTGAAATGAACTGAAAACTTTTGCTAACCTTCAGGTGCAAGTTACTTCACATGGAGTACTGAGATCATTAAGTATTTTGGCAGCTCTCCAGAGTCCCTTTTTTTCTCTGTTACATGGGTTTATTTAGCAATGAACAGAACTTTTACTTTTTTATTTTAAATATAAGGAGTTTTTGCATGACTGTCTATCATGCTCAAGATCCATCATATTGCCTATTTCTCATCTAGAGACCATTTGGGGGTGAATAAAGGTAAATGTTGTTTGGTTACACTACTGTTTGTCTATGCCTTCCACAGTTCAAAAAACTTTCACTCAAACACACGCAGAGGCACACGCACACGTGGTCCAAATATTGCCATTATTGTTTGTGTTGCTTTATTCATCCTTCAGGTCTCCTGTAATGGCTGGAGGTCTATTTGCTGTTAATCGGAAATGGTTCTGGGAGCTGGGAGGCTATGATCCAGGATTAGAAATATGGGGAGGAGAGCAGTATGAAATCTCCTTTAAGGTAAGTCATCAAGTCAGCTTGCAGAATACTTCCTTTCTGATGTTATCATGATGCTTTTATTCATACTGGCTTTGTCTTTTAACTAAAATTAATTTAACACAATGCTTTTTTTTTTGTTAGAAATTCCCAATAGTTTCACAAAGAATTATGCCATAAACATATGCTCCAGAAGCCGTACAAAAATCACACTGAGGGCAGTTCACTCCAAAAATGTGGTAGCTTGCCACCATCAAAGTCCTACCTTGTTCCTTTCATCAAGTCTTCTCCACTTACCTTCTCTGAGGTGCTGTGTTTACTTTATGCTCAAACATTGAGCATAAATAAACCAACAGAGAAGTATTACAGCAAAAAAAGAAAAGGGCAAAATTTTCTGCCCAAATCAACAAGTTTGATCCTATCCTGGGGATAGGATCCCATGGAGTCAGCTCAGGAAATGTGTGGAAATGGAAATGAGAAAGTCATGGGAAGAAAGACCCCTTTCAGTAGCAGCGGATCACTAGAGCTCAGCTGCTATGAGCTGACAAGCTGTTCAAAAGCAGATTTTTTTTTTATTAGTGCATTTAAATTATTGTAATGACATATGGGGAGTTTTCAAGTGCTCAGTACAACCAGCCATGGTATACCCTCATATCCTCTCTTAGACAGGTGTGCTCAAATCAGTTACATCTCGAAAGTCTTGTTACTTTCTGCAGGTAAAACAGGCATTTGTATTAGTTTCATGAGGACTAACATGTCTAATTTTGAAAACTAAGTTTATTTTGTTCCAGTATACCCAAAGACACAAGAACTTTGCCTCACAGTCTCTACATGCAAAGTTTTTCAATGACTTGATAGAATTTCATGACATAGATGAATTGAGTCAAACATATTTTAATGTAGTTTGGAACTGAAATTAGAATTCAAATTTAGCTTCAGGTACTTCCAAACTCTGTCAATTTAAAACTCTGTAAATAAATTCAGCATGTCAGCCATGACTAATATCATACATCTTGTTGAATCTGAGTTTCAACAGCAATTAAAACAACAGTGCTGAGACAAACTGTACAGTGTGAGCCAACACTGGGCTTCCAGGCTGTCTTTACAGGAGTTACCAAGAACAGCAAAATGTTTTGCATTAACCAGACCTACTCTCATATTTCTCCAAATCATTTTTATATCTCAACAAAATAAAACAAGAATGCAGGGAAAACCCAATAGCTAGACCATATATTTAGAATATATTGATTTACCTTCTGTTTTAGATTGTTTCAGAGGCAAATATAAGTAGTTGCTTGTAGCTGTCACCATGGTCTCTGAGCAGATCACCCATGATTTTATTATCCTATTTCAAATACTTCTTTTATTCATCATCACAAAGAATATAGTTGTAGTGCTCTCCAGACTTTGTATAGAAACCATGGTAACACAACTGGAAACTGAGATACCAGATTGTCCCAGTGGGTTTTGTTCAACGGACAGATTTTTTTTTGGAGGCATCTGTGTCACATTTGGTCTCATTTCAGTCATATCTCTGGATCCATCTCATTAGTATATAATGACCTTAGGATCCCTATCCTTCCTTACTAGTGTTAAAAGAAGAAAAAAAATAGTCTTTAATGATGATTGCCATTGGAAGAATTTAATAGATGTAAGTTTTAAAAAGAAAGCTGCTGTTTGGTTTGGAATAACAAAAAAGAAGAAAAATCATGGAGGTGGAAGGGAGAAACATTATGTCAGGGGTTTATTATGTCAGAATCACCACTATCAGCCTGGGAAGGGTTTCTGCTTCAACAGTTTTTACTGTAGCTATAGATTCAGTCTTAAAACTTATTTAAATGAGGACAAGTTAGCAAGACAGTTCAACTTACCAGATTTATTTGCAAAACTTGGTAAGATGGTGGACTTGCAAACTGTTACGAAGTCAGTGAAAAAGCCAAACAACCAGACTGGTTCTGTTTCTGTGGCTACTAGAGTGAATTTGAAAATACAATTTACTTTTTCTTAGAGTGTTACATCTATGACCTGTGGAATTGTTGTAGGATGAGTGTCGTGTGTCGATGCCATGTCTTACATTAATTTGCCTGGCAAATAATTGTTTGGAGTATCCTGCCACAAGAACATCTCTAACCACCAGATAGATAGCCATTTTCACACATTTCTTCTTTGATTCAACTAATTCTTAAGTATTTTGTAAAAATATGATTGGTTTTCATTAAGAAGTTGCAAAGAGAAGCTGATTCAAAATGTCCTATAATTGTGTGAAGTTCACATACAGAGGACTGTTTCAGACTGATCTTTAATCTCAGACAGACACAGTGTTCCTTTTATGTTCTTCATATTTCTTGTTTTTAACTGTGAGATTAATTTTCACAAGAGCTGCATTATAAGAGTAAATAAGTAAACAATCTATCTGCTGTAAGATAGAGACTGTGCTGATGACATGACCTTACTCATGTCAGATGGGAGATTCTTGTGGTTAATTCAAATACAGTGACGCAGTTATGAGGGATGAATGTCAGAGCAAAAGCCATCATATGCTTCCTGAAATGAAGTAGTGTGTGATTCGTCTTGAACTGGTTGCTCTACTCTGTGAGCTGGAGTGAGGAGTGTTTGCAGACCATTTCCCAGCCTCAGTGATGCATTTAAAATTCTATGGATTGACCTACAACTGTAACCATTCTGTTTAACATTTTAACAATATGTCCAGGTGCTATAGAATCCAGGTATGCTGTGGCACGTTGTTAATTAGCACTGCGAATGTTTTGCTGCAAAGGAAAGCTTTCAGGTATGTTCAGGAGATTTTTCACAAGTATGTGTGTCAAGTATCAAATATCAAGTTTACATGTTCCAATTCAGTGGTGGCAAATACAGAACCAGTTATTTGGAGAATTGCCCAGATGTTGTAATGAACTGGACTCCACAGAAACATTCACACATTTTGTTGGGAAAAGATCTCTTAACAATCAAGATCCTCTTAAAGAAAAACATCTCAACCAAAAGCTTCTGCATTTCTGTACCAGAGACATTCATAGTCATTTGCACAAGTCAAGCTACAGAAGTGTTTGCTACAAAGCAAATGAGACACCATAAATGCAAAGTGTGGCCTGTCATGGGGGGTGCGGAAGGCTCTTAGAAAAAGTTTATTTGAGTTTATTTATTTGAGTCATGAGGTGCAGAAAGGATTCCCTTGCTTTCTAAACTTCTTCTCAGAGAAGAGCCAGGGTGCAGGTGGATCCAGTCTTAGCCTCAGATTTTATCAACAATTTAAATTTAGGGAATTATAGATGTGTGAGCTCAAAGGAATTACTAATAATAGCCATATTGCTTTATGAGTTCAACACACTAAGGCAGAGTTCAAGGACCAATTAAAAATCGGATTACTAGGACAAGTGGAGGTTGAACTAGATTTAGGAAAGGTACTCAGAGTTGGGAAGCTTGGAGGGAAAGTGTCTGCTTTGATATTTGTCTCCAGCTGTTTCACTAGATATGACCTGGTGTGGCAGACACCAAACTCCTTTTTATGGGGGGGAGGTTGCATTATCTAATTGTACATTCAATAATACAGTATGGTTTATAATGTTTCTGTGACATTTGGAATTGTACCACAGCATGAAAAGGAGCTTCCTCAAACTTCAGATGTGTCTATTCCAGGTGCTGAGTGGTCAGGAACACACAGAGGCAGGTAAAAAAAAGAGTTACTGCTTTAAACTTTGCTTGACCTTTATTTCCACACCACAAAACCCAACATATTTCTCTTTTGTTCTCTTCTTACTTGCTAACATCACTGCAGAGGACAGCAGCAAGCATAGCACAGGGTGCCATTCTGATTAACCCGTGTTTCCAAATCAGAGCACACACATACACACACATTCAGTGGATGGTTTCACAGTCACAAACCATGTGCCAAAATGTGACGTCTTTATTAAATAGTTTCTTAGATTCATTTTTACATAGGAAAATGTGCAGGATTTTATTTTTTGGCAGCATCAGGATTATTGGGGGCTTTTTAATTAAGAAGACAAATGACATCTTGCTGACAATACGTGTGCTGGACTTGTGAAAGCTGGCAAAACACTGGATTAATAGCATCTCTTCTCAATATCAAGAGAAATCACTATTTATGAAATCCTAAATTTAAATTTCTTAGACAAGTACAGCTTATGTAGTAATCACTAAAACACAGAGTAGTGAAAGATACTAACTTCCTATGTTTCCCAAAGTTCTTCGTGGTGGGCTTGACCTTGGCTGTATGCCAAGTATCACAGCAAAGCTGCTCTATCACTCCTCTCCTCACCTGGACAGAGGAGAGAGAAAATATAACAAAAGGCTCATCAGTGAAGGTAAGGGCAGGGAGAGATCACTCACCAGTTACCATCACAGACAAAACTGACTTGATTTGGGGGAAAATTAATTTATTACCAATCAAATCAGAGTAGGGCAATGGAAAAATAAACCCAAATCTTAAAAGACCTCCTCCCCACCCCTCTCCTATTCTCAGGCTCAACTTCACCCCTTATTTTCTCTACCTCCTTGCCTTCAGGGGGATGGGGAATGGAGGCTGAAGTCAGTTCATCACATGATATCTCTGCTGCTCCTTCCTTCTCTGGGGAAAGACACACTCCTCCCCTGCTCCAGCATGCGGTCCTCCAGGAGCTGCCAGTGGATATTTGCTCCACCACAGAACTCCATGAGCTACAGGGGGACAGTTGCCTCACCATGGTCTGCAGTACAGGCTGCAAGGGAATCTCAGCTCCAGTACCTGGAGCACTCTCGCCCTCCTTCTGTGCTGACCTTGGTGTCTGCAGGACTGTAGGTCTCACATATTCTCACTCCTCTCTCTGGCTAAAATTGCACAGTAACTTTTCCCCTTCTTAAATCTGTTGTCCTGGAGGTGCTGTCACCGTCACCAATGGCCTTAGCCAGCAGTGGGTCCATGCTGAAGCCAACTGGCATTGGCTCTGTTGGACATGGGGAAAGCTTCTCACGGAAGCCACTCCTGTAGCCCTCCTGCTATCAAAACC